TATGAGAATAAATAAATGATCTTGCAAGTAATTAGAATGAATTTATTAAAGGTTTTCAGTACTTGAGCAAAGACTTTTGACCTAGACCCATAGATGGGGACCTACCTGAATTGCAGTGGAAGTTTTGCGGTGCCTTTAATCTCACTCAGTTCACTGTGTGCCTCCCAATTTGCCGAGTGGCTGAAAGGCAAAGACCTTGACATTAATTGCATTAACCACTCAGTGGGGAGGGCACAGCTAAAAGAGTGAAATTAAAGATGCTGCTGCATTGCAATTTTAGGTAGGTCCCTACCCAATGAAACCAATATACTGAACTGAGCATTGGGCTAATGCATTCATTAGACACCGTTATGTGCTACTTTTGATCTGTCCAGCTGGTTTATTATGCACCACAGGCTAATTTTGTCTAAAGAGAGGCTATTTGTGTTCCTTGGATATGCAGAATAGTTTTATTTTATTATGTTTGAAAAAGTCACTACATTTTTTTTAATGAAGGCTACATTTTGGGTCTGAACTACATACTCTCAAGGCTGCCTTGTTTAACTCTGGCTTCTTCCTAAATTTTAGGGATGTGGGTTTTCTTGTGTTCCTTTACCTGCAATTGGAGAAACTTCTGGTAATCACTTTTTTGTTTAGCATTCCCAGCTTTTCTTCCCTTCAAAAAAGGCATGTCCTAGCACCATAAAACAAGTAAGATTTTTACATGCAATCAATTGTTGCACATAGGCAGGAGTAATTAAAGAGTGTATGCCTGTATATGTATTCTGAGTTTGGAAAAATAAAGTGTTTGGAAGATGACTCTCTCACTGCCAAATATTTATATTTTAGGCAGCATTACCTTCTCTCACAAACCCACCTTCTCTAAGTCCAATTCGGCGGAAAGGGCAAGAGAGAGATTCAGGTGAACAGACATCTGTACCAATGAGCCCTAAAAAGGGTAGTGAAACTAATCCAGGTATGGAGATTAACAGATGTACATGCTGTTTATGTGTATACATGGTGGACTAGGAAGAAAATCTTAGTTGTGTAACTCAACATACCGTGGAATGCCAGTGTTAATTTTGAAGAGGTTTGCATGGATTGAGAAATGGTTAAAATATTTTTTGTAGAGAATCATAAAAATTCCATCCATTTGCAAGCAGTGTGGATTTCTGCCTCTTGCTGTTCTTACCAGTGCTCTTGCCGATTTGTGGTCTAAAACTAAAAATGAAAATATTTGTTCTTCATACTCCAGTGATGGAAGCTGGGTGCTTGCTTTGCTGTTCTTTTGAGTACAGATATTGGGTGCTCAAGGAAAGCAAAAATCTAAATTTAAAATGAATATGAAAGCTTTAAGGACTTTCTTTAGATATTTTAAAAGGAGCAAAATAAATTATTCTTTTAGAATAACTTTAAGGAACCCAAGTAAGTCCTCCTTGGGTCTGTTTTGGATTATTGTGTCACTAATTTTCATAGAAGGTAGTTACTGTTTTACAAGAATGAATCATTTGGACAGCCATTTTTTTTCTAGTAACTTGAATGTGCATATTGAATCATTTTACCATGCATTTCAAAGTTAAGCTACTGTTGTATTATGGTGGTCTATCTAAATAACTTTTCCTTTTCTTTAAAAAGCTGCTAGGCAAACTGATACTCCAGGACCTGCTCCAGCAAGCAAATCATCATCGCTGGGCAGTTTCTATCATCTTCCATCATATCTCAAGTTATATGATGTCTTAAAAGCTACCCATGCTAACTATAAGGTACAAGGCAATATCATTTGGGTAAATGTGGTATGTAAAATACAAGAGTAAACGTTTTTTTGGCTAGTGTTACAGGACTGTAACTTACTTTTCTTTCATCTTGAAGTATGAAGTTTATTTCTCAGTGTGGGTACATACATGCCCTGTGCACTCGGATTTGTCCAGAAGCATCTTTTTGGGGTTCTGCTTGTCCCTTGAGTCTCCTATAAAGATGTAAAGGATCCTCAGCTGGAGAAATCTCAGGAGGCAGGTGGAGAAAAGAGTACTGAAACTTTGAGGGAAAGATTTAGATCTCCGTCAGGTCATATGCTGAACAGCTGGAAATACCTTTGAATGGCCTTTGGGAAGAGTCTCTCTGGCACCCTTCCTGTCGTCAGTCACTGTTCTAAGGCGAGTGTCAGCAAGCTTTTAACAATGTTGGGCTGCTGCTTGCAACCCAGCCACTACAATTACAGATGGGATCATAAACAGCTCAAAGCTCCTAATTCACCCGAACCTGCAGTTAATGGGGAGAGGGAGGAGTAGGAGGGACTGACTGCACCACAGCTCCATCATAACTGTCCCTGAGATCTTGCCTGTTGTTGAGACAAGTGGAGGCTGTTTGTAGCCTGAACTAGGGTTAGGTTGCTCTGGTTTAACTTGCACTTACCATAAGGCAGTTGTTACTACCTGTGGCCACAGGTAATGGTAATGGGGTGGCAGTTTACCACCTCAGCAGCACTCTAGTAACTGTTCATGTGTCTGCTTCTACCCCACAGTAAGTGAAAGCTGCACCAGGATAACTGGCCCCCATTTCATCTGGGGATAAACTGCCCTGGCTTGACTCTCATCCCAGGGTGAGAATTTGTACAGGGTACAGTTACTGCTGAGCAGCTCAGGTACAGTAAATTCCTTCCTGCTGTTAATTGCAGGTAAAGGGACAGTGATAACTGCACAGAAGTGCCAGCAGAGTACCAGTGTTGTAGACAGGATAGTCCAGGAACCGTGCAAGATGTAAGGTTTTCTTGGTGTTATCTTTTGTTGAACCACCCATATCGTTGGGAGAGCTGAACATACTTTTGGGCAGTGCTATGCAGATGAAAGGAATAATTGGACTAAAAATGTTTGGGAACCACTCTTGAATCGACTGAGGAGCTCTTACAAATGACAGTTACTGACTGAATAGCACTAGTGGCGGCCAAAGACTGCTCTTTCCCAACGGCCATCTTGCCTTTCTTTTAATATTTACCTTTATACAATAGACTTGTTAGGTAGAACTCTTTGGTTTTCCTCACTTTCTCACTTTCTGCCAAGGTCACACTGGATCTTCAGAACCCTAATGAAAAGTTTGGATGTTTCCTGCGATCTGCTTTGGATGTCCTCTCTCAAATTTTGGAACTTGCAACTCTTCAAGACATTGGGAAGGTGTGTAGTTTAGGTTCAGAAATTAGACACATTTGTAATATTTGGAGGGAAGTGGATACTACTCCATAGATAAACCGAAGACTAGCACCACAACAACCTATCTTCCCAGGAATCAAAACTTGCTCACACATCAAGCAAAAGAACTGAATAAACACTGGGTCACAATGACATCACTTGGTGTCTTCAGTTGTCACAAGGTGCATGAGTTCACTTTTAATCATGAACTTCATGTCACATGCTATAGCTAAGTATGAAGATTGTTGCTGGTCCAAACTAAGTGTCACGTAGGTGGAATTAATATTTCTAAAATTTCTGATCATCGTTCCAAGGACACTGCCTTTGAAAGTCTTGATGGTTTTGTAAGTGTTTAATTGTTAGCATGCTGGGTAGCATAGTAAGTGAATCATAATGAAGGGATGTTGCTTAACTAATTAAATGCTGTTAGTAGGTTTGCTGTGTTGTCAGGTAGTAAAAAAGATGAAGAATTTTGGATAATTTAAGGGTAATACAGTGACTTTTTTTGTCCCTGTCGTTCTCACTTATATTTACATAATTGTTATATACTGTAATCCCATTAAGTGGAGAAAATCAGGAAGTTTCCTTTTAGTTTGATATTTTCTCTCCTTGTTTTAACTGAGTTAAACTAGTTGGGTCTTCTGTAAAGCCTTGTAAAAGGTGCTTGTGGCTTCATAGGTCACAGTGCCTAACTTTCAGGTGTCTGATCATTGGAATGGAATCCAAAGTGAGGTGCCTAGATTTTCATCTTCATACAGCACATTGGGGAAGTTGGTTGTTTCTAAAGGAGCCGTGATACAAAAACCTGTGCTGGGAAGCTGCCATCTAGAGCTACCCTACAGAAGGGGAGTGCTTGAACTCCTGCCATGCTAGAACTTAAGGGGCTGACTCAAAGATCCAGGCTTCTCGAGGACAGACACCTACAAGTGTTCTTTGAAGGCGCTGAGCAGGTCTCACTGTGCTGAAAACTTAAGTGCTAGAGAAGGGGTAAGGGCTGGTATTTGGTTGGACAGCCGTATTATATAATAACTTAAGTAGCAATCACCCGGACAGTGGGGAACTAGGGTTACAGGCCTTCCTCAGTCTGATAGGGTTCAGATCTACTTCTACCTTCTGGGACAGTTCCTTAACCACTAGGCCTCAAGCCTTTTGCTGAAGTTGTTGTAGTTTGCAAGAAGAAATGCAAGTTTTATAGGGCCAGAAGAATATTGTATTTCCTCTGATACCTCATACACCTTTGCCCACAAAATTAGCCAACCAAAGTTGTCATGCATGTTTTAAGCAAAGAAACTCTTTTCTTTTTGCAGTTGTGCTTTCTTGCCCACCCTTCCCAGCTGCATGCAGGAGGGGAGAGTGCAGTGGAACTTGCACTCTTCCCTTGCAAGTTCCACTGCTCAAGCTTGAACCCTGTCACAGCTGCTCAGCCAAAAGCTGCTGCCAGTTAGCAGTGGCTACAATGGGGTTGAAGCGTGAGCTGTGGAGCTTGCAAGGAGAGAAGGACATGGAAGAGTAGATTCTCTTCCTGTTCCATGCGGCCTCCAGCCATGGCTCTGGAAAAATGTTTTTTTTCTTCATACTGCCTTTCCAAAACAAGGTGTCTGTCTTATGTGAGGGGGTGTGGGGTTTTTTTTTTGTTTTGTTTTAGAAAGCACAGTAAGCAAGAGAGCCTGATTAGCCTGAAGAACCGATGATGGCAGCAGTTGGTGGGCAGCAAGCAAGGGCATTCATCTAAGGGGAGAGGCCATCCTGTAGTCCAGGAGTTGGCAGCAATTTTAGCCAGAGTGCCAAAAACACCCCAACCCTGACCCATGCCTTGACTTGGCATTTCAGGGGCAGCCTGCAGAGGGGCTGTGAGGGATGTGATCCTCATTGTTGGCATGCACACCTCTGGGTGGACAGTGGGGGAGGGACTGGGGTTGTGCTGCCCCAGCTCCTTCTCCACACTGTGCCAAGGCATGCATGCAGTTGTTGCTGGCACAGAGCTGCTGCCAGGGCTCTAGAGCCCAATGCAGCTGTGTCTGCATCCTGCCTGCTGCAGCTGCCCAGAGCCCAGGTCAGTGGTGGAAAGCAGCCAGGAGGCTGCAGACAGCTTCACTGGGCTCTGGAGCCCCAGCCAGACTCCACAGTAGCTGTGGGTTCATGCGTGCCTCCAAGCAGAGTGCCTGGGAAGGGCACCACAACCCTGGCCCCTCCCCCACCATACACCCAGAGGTGTGCATGCAGCTGTGGCTGCCACGGAGCTCAGTGAAGCTGTTTGCAGCCTCCTGGCTGCCTGCCACAACCAGCCTGGGCTTTTGGCAGCTGCTGCCAGCCATGGAAACTGGGCTGCTTGCAGCCTCCCAGCTGCCTGCTGCGAGCAGCCTGTGCTCCATGGTGGCAGTTGCCCAGAGCCCGGGCCAGCTGTGGCATGCTGAGCCAAATGGCCTTGTGTGCCATGATCTGACACGTGCGCCAGGGGTGGCTTACCCCTGCTGTAATCATGATTCCTTAGATTGTTTTTAAAATGTATATTAAGAATTCACAAGATAAAAAAAAACAAATGCTCCCTTGGAGCAGGAACCAAGGAGACACAGGTGCTGCTCTGCCTAGTTTATGGGTCTTAGTGGGGCTTGGGCAGGAGCTGGGTGCCTAATTGCTCATATTGTGAAGTCTTGGGCATGTGCACAACAGGGAATTGCAGGCATCTGTCCCCTGGACTGTAATTGAGTCTCAGAGTTAGTTTAACTCCCTGGACAATACATGGGGAAAGTTAAGTGTCCTTCAGCTTAGGGGGAGGCGCTTTGTGAGTTTTGAGGCCTTCAGGATTTGGTGGCTGTTGAGCATTTTTTGGACCAAAGTCCATTTTCTGGAACCTAAGTCTGTGTCTGGCCTCAAAATATTACATTTTTACAATGTCCTTGCAATTTTTTTCTCAGATTGCTGGTGTATCTTTCCAGTCTTTAAGCTTGCTCTTTTTTCTGTATTAAGAATTAAGCCAATAAGGTTTTACTTCCTGGAAAAAATGATTTACATTACTGTTTTTCTTTTTCCTTTAACTTTTTTTTTTTTAGTGTGTTGAAGAGATTTTGGGGTATTTGAAATCCTGCTTCAGTAGAGAACCAATGATGGCAACAGTTTGCGTGCAGCAAGTAAGGAGTAATTTTTATTGGCATTTTGGGTAGAATTATTTTGGAGGGTGCACTCTGTTCACTACTTTCTTCCTAAGGAAGACATGGGGAGGGAAACTACTTTTGGGAGAACTTGTAGTTCAGTATAAAGCGGATATTTTTATGTTGCTTTCATTGATGCTTTATGTAATTTTGCTTTGGAGCTCCTTCTGCCATTAGAATAGTTTTTCTAAACAGCTGTCATGTGCTGTGAGACTACACAGTCACCTTGCTGGGGTCACCTGACTCCTAGTTATCTTTCCTGCTTGGTGCAGGGGGCTGGACCCGATCTTCCAAGGTCCTTCCGGCCTTACAATCTATGAAGTTCCTCCATTTACCTGGGTGGAAAGCAGATTTAAGAGATGTCAGGAAACCTATTTTACAGAACTGGAGGGGGCGTTGAGAGATCTAAGTACTATGCTTTTTCATAGACTAGTTTAAGCCACTTAGGCTTCAGGGGGAAGAACTAAGCCTTCATAGCTTCCTCTCAAGTGAAACTGAATGCTTTTGCATTTCAGATAATCAGCAGATTCCTGTTATCACTCTGCAGATAATACTTGGCTCACTAAGAGGTTGTGTGGCTTAATTCATTGAGAATACTTTTATGCTTGGTTTGAAGGCTATAGAAGTATGAAATTTTAGATTTTACAACACTTTTAATTTTGCACATTTAATCTTTTGAACTTACAGAATTTCCTGGCGTGTTGTTATTGTGGCTTGTCTGGTACCTGTTTTATTTTTCAGTTTAAGAAAATATAGTACACTAGTTTAAATTAATCTATTATCCAGTCATACAATTGATGCAGTAGGGAAGTCCCTTACTGAGCCTTAAGGCCACTAAGAGATGTTAAAGAGAAGGTGTGATGGGGTCTGATGCATGATTCCAACAATTGTTCTTTCTGCATGGCAGGAGGCATGATGGTGAGATCAAGCATCAGATCCAATCATACCATGTTGCCAGTGCAGGAGGAGCCTGTGGTCATGCTCCCAGGCACCGTTGCACCAGCAGTCTTTACTCCCATGTCTCGGGGCCCTGCCAGTGATTGGGGCTCCCAGCCAGGAGAGCTCATCTTGCTCCTGAGGCTGAGCTCCATAAGCTGGGAGCACTGGCCACACATTTAGTTAAAGGTGTGATAGGAACCAGCCACAAAGTTTTTACACATTTTATGTAATAACTTTGTCACATTATTGGTTTTATCACACCATTAATTGAATGAATGTGTGGCCATGTCACTACTTAAGATGCAGTTAACCAGTTCATAGTGTCTTAAGTGTAATGTGTGTGGGGGGCTTAAGTCTCCTAAGACATGTTTTTATGCCCACTCCACTTGGGTTCAGCGGTGTCTTTAGTCATCCTAGCACTGCTAAGTGAATGGAAAGAAATCAAATGTGCCTACACCCATGTAGGCCATCTTTTGTAAGGTTGATGCAAAGAAAAACGAAGTTATGATTTTGGTTATGGAAGACTTGGGCCAGTGTGAACTAATGACAGAGCTGAAATTTCTCTCCCAGTGAAAACATACAACCCTCCACCCCCAAAGGAAAAAGCAAAAAAAATCATAAACCTGCCAACCAGCCCATTTTAAAAATCTCTAAACAATAATTATCTTTCTCAGGACTAGATTAATTGCAAGTAATCTTTTTTTTTTTCTCTCCCCTGAATGTTGCTTTCTTCATGGCTGACTAGGATTCTCAGCAACAAATAAGAATGTTCACTTGGTTTAACACCTAATAACGAGCCATAAGATGCAATTCATTTGTGAAGTAAACAGCTACCGGAAACCACATTTAAAATAAGAACAGATTCCAAACAGTTACCAAAATTAATGTAGAATACATACTTAGGTTGGGAACTTACTTTAGCCAAAGGCCTATTCCAGTTTAGAAAAGTTAAGTTTAGCTTTTAGGCTTGTACAAGCTCAGAATAATTTTATGACTTGATTATTCTAAAACCATGGGAAGGAATAGGGATGAGAGGGGAGGGGAGGGATGTCATACTTTAACTGATCACTTTACTGGTTTAAAGATTTGGGGATTATTAATTTAAACTGTTTTCATGTCTGCAAGAAAACATTGTTGTGCATTTTTTTCTGTACTTTTAATGGTACTTTCAGCCTTTCTCTTGCACAGTTGGAAAAAAATTAAGATTGCAATGTGACAGTTTCATTCATAAAATGATTTCTGGGAGGATGCCACTCAAGCTATACTGTTCCAGAAATGCTAACTATTTTTTCCCCCAAACTTTTCCTTAGTTGCTGAAGACTTTATTTGGGACAAACTTGGCATCTCAATACGATGGCTTGTCTTCCAACCCCAGCAAATCTCAAGGCAAAGCTCAGCGCTTAGGCTCTTCAAATTTAAGGCCTGGCCTTTATCATTACTGCTTCATGGCACCGTATACACACTTTACGCAGGCACTTGCTGATGCTAGTCTAAGGAACATGGTACAGGCTGAGCAGGAACATGATGCCTCAGGGTAATTTATTCTTTTCCTTTGTGGTATAGTGGGCTATCTTGAGCTTTTGTTTCTGTGGATCACAGTAAATCCTAATACAATTAAGAGTACTGAACTCTTGTGACATATTTAAATTAGTTTTTCACATTGAAATTTCAGTATGAAGATCAGTTGTCAAAAGCTGTCACTTTTCTATTGTATTTAAAGTGGTATACCTTATCATTGGTTTTGTTAACTTGAGCTCTGGTATAATCTTGGATTTTGGGTAGCACAAAAGTACTTCACGAATAAGTCACACTAGAAAATTATATTATATTATATAATTACAAAAGCTATTCATTTTTTAAATTTATGTTTATATTATAGTAGGATAATAATTACTCATATTTAAGATAGCTTTTATTGTTCACATATTGGTGTTTTAGTGGCCTGAGCAGAAAGGCAAAGGAATAATTTTTTTTTTCTCACTCCTAGGTAGACAGGTTGTGCAGAACAGGCTGCAAATGTTGTTGGAACAAAGTAGGGAAGTGCATTAATGTATTACAGTTACCCTTGATGGACAGTATGTCTTGCAGATGAAAACTGGGAAACGTGTATATGCCTATGTTCTCCAAAATACTTGCAACTTTAATGGTAAACAAAATGTGTGCATGTGAAGCTTCTCAAGCTTTTTCTTTTGTTTTACTCTGTTTTGATAGATGGTTTGATGTACTGCAGAAAGTTTCAGCACAACTGAAAACTAGCATTTCAAGTGTAACAAAACATCGTGCTGACAAGGTAATTAAAATGTATACATGTTTTTCCTTTTCCATTCAAATTAGTTGTTCAGCAGTTTCACTTTGAATTGGAATACCATAAAAATGATTGATAGATGTCTTTTAACCTTTTGTTTTCTTCTTTTTTTATAGAATGCTATTCACAATCACATCCGCTTATTTGAACCTCTTGTCATAAAAGCTTTAAAGCAGTACACTACAACAACATCTGTACAGCTGCAGAGGCAGGTTTTAGACCTGCTTGCACAACTCGTTCAACTACGGGTTAACTACTGTCTTCTAGATTCAGATCAGGTTAGTTACTCCTTTCATTTTTGCCGGTTTTTAGTAGATTAAAGGGTCATTGCTGTGGGTGCCGAGTATAGCCGGAATGGGGCCACGATGGAGTGGAATTAGGCACAAACGTGTACTGGTTGAATTGAAAAAGAACTTTACTTACAAACTGACGTACAGGGACTTGCGTCGATGCACACAGTGTAGGCACGCTCCATACAGGTTACAAACAAAAGAGAAAACCGGGTAGCACACCGATGTTTCTGAGCATGCAGGGTGCGGGGTACGTTGGGACGGTTGTCGACGGGGAGTGGTTGGTGGTTGATCAGGCCCCCAATTTTGCTCCAAGGTACACAAGGAACTCGTTCCCAACGTACACGCGGAGTTCTTCGACTTGGGCGGAAACTACCCAAGCTTTTATACGGCTAGTGAGCCAATTGCTAGCCGCCGGGGATGAATAATTTACAAAGAAACAATTGGGGTAGCATGCATCCAAATGGTGCAACTGCTAGTTTTGGCGGGAGCTGATCACTGCACCAAGACTTTTCCCGCCGTAGCGAGGCGTCCCTTGCACCGAGTACTTGCATCGTGCTAAGAATTCTGCTGTGTCGAGGCACTTTTAATTACTAAGTACAGACAATTGCCAGGTTAAAATGTTTAATTATTTAAAGGAAGATGCATAATACTTGTCCTACCAATAGGAGTGTCATTTTCAAAAACAGGGATTTATGATGGAATTTTATGGAATAAATTTTTCTCAAGGTGAAGATTATGATCTTTCTCATTGGGTTCACTTTCTGGCTATCATACACTAGTAAATGGGTGTATGTTTTTTTTTTTTTAAATTTCCAAAAACATTAATTTATAAACATTTTATCAAAAACTTCAGAGAGGGAATGGCATGTAGATAACCAAATGACTGCATGAGATGAACTTTGATAAACAAGTATGTGTTGTAAATGCACGTAGGAAAAAATAGTAATCGGTATTACTTTCTATTTAGTTGAAATAAACGAAGTTGATGATTGATTTAACCACTGAAAATGCTTGGCCCTCTGCTGGTTCACAGAATTTTCCTATTCAGTGCTTAGCTTGTAAACGCTATGTTAATAAGTAGCAGAGCTGACTCCACTAAAATGATTTTTTGTTATAAAGGAAAAAACATTGCCTAGATAATTGTGTAGGCCTGTTCCTTCAAGACATGTCCCAGGGCCCTGTGTTAATTGATGCTTTTTAGTTTCCTTATGTTTTTTCCTTAGTGCTTTTAGATAGAAATTAGAGAGACCTGTTTTTGTTTGCTGTATGCAGTTCTTGATGCTTACTTTTTATCCTTTTGTAGGTGTTCATTGGATTTGTGCTAAAGCAGTTTGAATACATTGAAGTAGGACAGTTCAGGTATGGGATATCAATTTGGCAAATAATATTCATAAATACGATGGGAAACGCTATACAAAGCTGTACTTTGTGTGTCTTGATGCAGTTTGCATTACTGTGTCATCTGTAGTATAGAGAGAGGTCTCTTTTGTTTTATGTTCATTTAGTCTACAAGGTGCAAATCTACTCTGCCATCTATAGTACAGATCACGGGTTACTACATATTTCTACAATGGTTCTAAGACAGTTTTTTCAACCCATGAGTTGTGACTCAAAAGTGGATTGCAATATAGGAAGGGGTTGCAAGCAAAGTTTAAAAATGGATCAACAAATTTAAAAAGTGGATTCTCCTTTAAAGGAAAAAAACATGGGAAACCATGGGTTTCCCCTTGCAGGATAACAGAGTTCCAGCCTGCAGGGGGCTGCTTGGGGCTGAGGGTGTGGGAGGAGGGTGATCAGATGGGGATGGGGCACCATGTGCATATGAGTGCACACGTGCACGTCACAGCCAGGCAGCCTGGAGAGCAGTTCCCCATGGGTAAGTCTGTGGGGTGGGGTGGGGTGGCATAGGCGATGCATGGGGTAGGGCACATGTCCCACCCAGATCCTGTGCACTGGCAGTGAACAGGGCTGATTGTGCACACACATGCATTAGTTCTGGTATTTATATGAATGGAACATTTTAGTAACTGAACTACTATTGAGAAATTCAGAAAAATTATTTTTAAATACTAATTTTTAAGAGGTACAAACAGTTGAAATACTATACATAAACAGACTGTTTATGAACTTTCTATGAAACCATAAATGATTATCGTTCTTCTGAGTAGGGCTTGCTTGTATGTATCAAATAAAAGGTTTTGTGTATTGACACCTTTTCTTTTCTTTTTTCAAGGGAGTCTGAGGCAATTATTCCTAATATTTTTTTCTTCTTGGTATTATTGTCTTATGAGCGGTATCACTCCAAGCAGATAATAGGAATTCCAAAGATCATTCAGCTATGTGATGGTATCATGGCCAGTGGAAGGAAAGCTGTTACACATGGTAAGTTAAAAAAAATAAAATAGTGGAACTGATACTAATTCGGTAATAATTAAACACAACGTGCTAAGGAAATCTGGGTGTATACTGATCGGTCCAGAAACCATTTTTGCTTAGTTTTCTTAGTTTTATTGTTGTACTCTTAAAACTTTTTTCACATATTAAAATAGTATCAGTGTAACCCCTTTAAAAAAAGTATATTTGCGTCTAATAAAATTTGTCACATTTATATGTAATTGTTAATTTCTACTTAATTCAAGTACAAGGAGTTCATAAATTTACAGTATGCTTGAGCAGTGAGGGAGAGTCTTGTGTACTATCTGTCTTGTTCTACCAAGTACTTGTTTATTGTGTTTTGCTTTCTCATAAATTCTTTGAATTAATAGTGTTTGCCTTAATGTTTGGTTTAAACAGGCAGCTCTTAGTTGGTTGCAAGGGTATTTATTGCCTATTAGATATTCAACATAATTATTTTGTCAGCTCTGTACAATACAAAGGAAGCAGACACAAAGGCAGATTACAAATTGGATTTAAATGTTTTTCTTCAAATCTTCGTAAAATTGCACATTTATGGAGTATATGTCTGTCTAGCTGTCTATCTATAAAACACATAAAGGAATTATTTAAAATGTGTGTGTAAACACATAATATAATGTAAAAGCTATTGAAATACATAATTTCTTCTTAAAATATGTAGAGGTTTTTTAGGAATCTGATTTGAAATGATTAAAAACAACAGTTTTAAAGAACAAGAATGCTGTTTATTAGGGTTTATCTGTTTTTTGAATAGTATAGTGGTAGTAAATTACCACAATGTTTTTTACTTTTGGAAAAAGAATATGAAAAACCTTATTCTAGAGATTTCAGGGAAGCTTGTGTGGATTGTGCTAAGAAAGGTACACCTTTCTAAAACACATTTAATACTAGCAATAATGGCCAGATATGCCTGCAACTTGGCTTCTGCTTTAATAGGGATTTAAGGAACAAGAGTTATAGTACTGACATGGTTTGTTTGGTTCTTTCCCCCCACCCCCCAGGCATTTATAGTAGCTTGTCTCTAGCATGTTGACCACTAATAGCAGAAAAGTTGTGTGGGAATCAAACGACTAGAATTTTCTGCTGAATCTTTTGCGTATACTACTGAAATACGAAATTTGTGAATATTTTTCTTTTTAGCTATACCAGCTCTGCAACCCATTGTCCATGATCTCTTTGTATTAAGAGGAACAAATAAAGCTGATGCTGGAAAAGAACTAGAAACACAGAAAGAAGTGGTAGTGTCAATGTTACTGAGACTCATCCAATACCATCAGGTGAGATAAGAGAACAAAGACAAACCTAGTATTGTGTATGATTTACGGTATGTATTATCGTTTAGACTGGCCATACTAAAAAGCTTTCAGCAACCGTTGCTCTATTCTGCATGAATCCTCAGTAGTTGGGTATTGTATTGTAAGTTTTCTGACGTGATAGGGTAAAGTATGCTGTTTTTTAACTGGGGCCATGCTCCATGTCCCAGGCTGGAGTAAGAATGGCACTTGCTAGCATGGAGCAAAGGTAAATGGCTGGGGAGGGGGGATGAGGCTGCAAGGAGGGTGGAGGCACATCGGGAGGGAGCAGGTGGTGGTGGTGGGGGTGGGAACAGTAGTGGGGCAGGTACAAGGTGGGGACAGGTGGAAGGGGGGCAGGCACAAGGTGGGGAATAGGCAGCAGGGGCAAGATGTCTCTTCTTCCCCCCCGCCCCCCCCCCCCCACCGCACCCCCTC